CATCTTTAGGTACTCAACTCCAGTCGTTTAGAATTTTAAGGAAACTTGGAAACAATACGCACAGTTTCAGTCGGGAGGGAGGCAGGCAGATAAGCTGAGCTGGTTCTTTTAAGTTTTAACTTGGTTCTGTGAACAAACGAAAGAGAGAGTTGGCGAAGGTAGAGGAAAGAAACGAGGGCATTGTTTATCTCGTGTATATTTAGAGAAATAACAATGTGTATTAAGGTATCTGTTGTGATATTCTGCTCTCTGCCCGGAGGATGTCATCATGAATGAGTGAGTGGACACTTAGACAAACCCTTCTTTAAAGTTCCGATCTGATGGGTTTTAGAAATCGCGTTTATCGATGAAGCACGCGTCGATTAGGTTTGCTCGAGGCGCAGTCAAGAGCCACTCTAACGTCTTGAGTACTTTTAAAACTCCCCGTTTTCCTCTTATTCCAATGGATGCAAAGCTGTTCCATGAAACAGTCTTCTAAACATTTTAAACACTGTTTTTTAAAGAAGAGTTTGCTCTGCTTTGCTTCAAAGCGTTAACGTACGTCATCGGCATTCTAAGTGGAAACAAGAAACACGCCCACGCGCCCGAATTTGTTTACATGAATTTACAGGTTATGCTTTGGAGATTTGTTACTCTCTGTTGGTACAAATAAAGGAATTGAGCGATCCTACTTTCTTTCATTCTTCCTTCGTGAACTTTAGTAACTCTTTAACTGCCAAGATTTGATTGTTAATCCCTCCTTCTGACTGCTTCAAACTTCCTTGCCACTGAGTTACGAGAATTTGGTGTCAGATCAAGATAACAATTTTGAGCATCTTCATTAACTGTTTGCTGGATAACGTGCGCATATTAAAGGGAGACGTTACATGTTTATGTCTTCTGGGAATTAAAGAGTTAGCCTACAGCAATGAACCTAGCAGATTTCTGGTCCATTATTTTCTTATAATTATTTCAACAAACAATTTAGTAGTCTTTAATTGTTATTTCAAATCACTTTTTTCGATAATATTTTTAATATCTTTTGTCTCTCCAGCCTGTCCAGCCATAATTTGTCCACTGAAGTATAATTTACATAAACAGTCAATTTAATTTTTAAACACCTCTACAGAACTCAAAACAACGTTTTGAAAAAGAGAAATTTTTACTTTTGCAAGACGTACGGGAATGTCTTACTCGTGAGAAAAAAAAAATAACATTTGGGTACAAAAGAATACCTCGTGAGTGGGAACAGTACTTATTCGCGTGATAAACCTTTCTATTGAAAACTGAATAAAGAAAACCTAATTTAGGTCTGATAAGAATCAAGGTCAACGATCAACGATTACTGCACGTTAGTCCACTGAACAAGCAGCCAAAACTTCCTCTCTCTCTGATAATGACCCAAGAACAATAGCATAAAACAACAAAGAAACGAGCAATAAGTATCGTTACTTTGCGAGCTTCCTAGTTTTGAAGTGAATAAGATCTGAAACGAGAGAGAAATCATTGTCACTTAAGACCCGTTAACATGGCTTGTGGTATTGCCGAGGGAACGTATCTCATAGAAAATGTCGAAACATACCGTTACTTGTTCCAAGACGGCCCTGGAATAAAAGGAAACCGAGGAGACGAAGGTGGTTGGTTATCTTTCTCTGGCTATGAAGCGCCTAATGTTGTGGGAGCCGATGCGAATTACTACAACCGAGCCTACTGGAAAATTATTTCACAGGGTGAAGAGAAATACTTCATAGAGAACGTCGAAACAAAGAGGTATTTGTTTTCAACTGGTGCAAAACTTGAAGGCGGTCGTGGAGGCGAAGGAGGCTGGACCAAAGCACCTAAATTTGTGGAAGCGGATGCCAATTATTAGAATCGAGCGTACTGGAAAATCATCCCACAAGGAGATGGCAAATACTTCATTGAAAACATCGTGACGTGCAGATGCGTCTTTCAAGATGATCCCGAAGTGAAAGGAAACCGTGGAGGAGAAGGGGGATGGAAGACTTCCGCGGGTTTTGAAGCTCCAACTGTTGTTGGTGCTGATGCAAATTATTACAACCGCGCCTACTGGAAACCACAAAAGCAGTAGGCTGACCATAAACGTGGAACCGTGACTTTTCTTTTGTTCTCCTCCTCAGTAACAAATATTTCAAAAGTAGTAGTTGGTTTTAATTCAAGTAGATTGATCTATGAGCTGCGCTGGACATCTGAAGCTGTGCACGGAGGTTGACAGTGGAGACGGACACTAGCTGCCAACTCAATCCAATGGCATCTCCTTTCAATAGCGCGTGACGTGTCCTTAAATGGCTAGTTGATTATAAACCCTTTTCCTCCCAAGATCTCATTAGTACTTGTCCGTACCGTTCGTCACACAATTCTCATAATGTTACTTTGGAGAATTTGGTATCTGATCAACTAATAGTTCCCTAATTGATATTTTTCTTTGTTCTCATCACTTGTCTTCTTGAATTTGTATTGGTATTTTAAGGAGAAATTCTGTCTTGGTCACGCACGGGAGTGAAAGGCTTAACTTTTAAAAAAACCGTTAGCCAGAGCACTAAAGCTTGGAGCTAAAAATAAACCATAGGCGTCATCAACAGAAGCAAGATGAAGTTTAAAGACAACTTTTCTGTTAAAGTCAGATAAATTGACGGCCAAACAACGACAGTAAGTATCGGAGAAAGAAGACCAAAGCGATACTGAAAATTTGATCTATGCCCAAGCGCGGGTTAAAATTCTGAGTAATAATTGAACGCGTATTACGTACATTCACAGTCATTGAGTTGAACAAGTCGAACAATTTCTAACATTACCTTTACTGGAGATTCTCCACACACATTCTGATTGGAATTGGGGCTGAATTATTTCCGTTTGAACAGTACACGATGTGGAAAATTTCCCAGTTTAACTCTCCTCGTTTTCTTTTTGCGAGCTGTATATAATTTAATCGCACTTTGAGGCTAAAACCTGTTTTGCTTTCCTGCTCATCATCTAGGGGAGCGCGAGGAGGGGTAAGGGGGAAGAGG